GAACCCCCCGGTGGCCAGAGCGCCAGGAGCAGGGCGGAGAGCCTGGCCGGGGCTCTCCGCTCTCCCCGGCGGCCAGACCACCAGGGGGAGGGCAGAGAGCCCCCGACCGGCCAGAGCGCTGGGGGGAGGGCGGCGAGCCCAGTCGCGGCCCCGCTCTCGGGCCGGAGCGCCCCGCTGCGCCGTCCCCCTACAGGCGCCGCCCCAAGCACATGCTTGGTGGGCTGGTGCCTGGAGCCGGCCCTGCCCCCATGAAATCTCTATAGTATAGGGTAAAAGTGCACAAAAGACCAGATTTCACGGTCTGTGATGCGTTTTTCATGGCCGTGAATTTGGTAGGGCCCTAATTATTATACATATTCGGCCTACAAGAGGACAGGAGTGGGAGGGAAGGGAACACAGGAACTGATTAGCTCAAAGGAAGATGCAGGGGAGGAAGTCGGGAACTGGGGGAGGCAAGGGCAGGGAGAGGCTGAGGGTGAGGATGGAGGGCAGCTGAAGTGAACAAATTGGAGGGGGGCGCAGGGGGTCTGGAGCAAGCAGCCAACCAGCAGAAAAGAAAGACCATTCTGAGTTTCTAAGGGCTTGTTGGCAGCTGCCCCTCACGTTCCAGTGGAGAGGGGGCTGTATGGAGAGGACAGCCTGCATCTCACAGGTGGTGGGGGGGCTAATCTCGGTTGGACACTAGCTGGAGCAGCCGGGAGGGCATTAAACTAACAATAAAGGGGGAGGGGAAGGGTGTTAAGGAAGCAAAGGGGATATAAACTCACACTCAGTGTCTCACAAACAATTTGAATGAATGTGACAGAGAAGGAAGGGAAGAAATGTTTCAATTGCTTCTATACCAATGTAGGAATCTGGGTAACAAGCAGACAGAATTGGAAGTTCTCACTGATGAGAAGGAATTTGATACAACTGGCATTACAGTTTTCAAGTACATAAAAGGCTGCTACAAGAAGGAGGGAGAAAAGTTGGTCTCCATAACCTCTGACAAGAAGCAATGGGCTTAAATTTCAGCAACGGAGGTTTAGGTTGGACTTTGGGAAAAACTTCCTGTCAGGGTGGTTAAGCACTGGAATAAATTGCCTAGGGAGGTTGTGGAATCTCCATCATTGGGGATTTTTAAGAGCAGGTTAGACAAACACCTGTCAGGGATGGTCTCGAATACTTAGTCCTGCCTTGAGTGCAGTGGACTGGACTAGATGACCTCTCGAGGTCCCTTCCAGTCCTACGATTCTATAATTACTAAAGCCTGGTGGGACAATTTGCAAGACTGGCATGTTAAAATGAATGGTTATAACCTGTTTAGAACGAACACAGGGGCTAAAAGAGCTGTTGGGGGGGACAGATTTCTACACCTGTTTTAGAGTTTTTGATACCTCAGAACCTCAGGATCTTGAATGCATATGGATCAATTTGCTAACTACAAAGCACAGGAAGGGGTACTGGTTGGGGTCTGGTACACACCACCTTATCAAGCCAAAGAACAGAGTGAGTTTCTCCATAGGCACCTGTCTGTAATGTGGGGAAAGAAAAATTGGGCCACTCTGGGGGACTTCAACTTGGAATGATGTGTTGGGGGCCTCATGCAGCCAATAATAAAACATCACTAGGAGTTTCTAAAAATTAGGAACCATTTTTTTGTTCTGTGTTTGTACAGTACAACGAATGGCATCTGGTCTGACAAGCACTTCTAGACACTACAGTAATGCTATTATTATTTGTCTAACCCAAAAAGTATTGCCCCCAACACAGGGTAACTATTTTGGACCTCATTCTGGCTGGCAAAGATAAATTAACCACTGGACTGGAAGCTATGGTTGCCTCAGGACCAATGATCATGACCTGATTACATTCAATATAGGCAAACAGGACAGTCCCAACCAGTGATACATATACATGGTGCTTCAAAAGGGCTAATTTCCCAAAGCTGAGGAAAATTTTCAGTGAATTTGACTGGGAGGAAAAACACAGACAGAAAAATTTGACTGAAAATTGGGAGTTCTTTAACAGGAGGTTAGAGGCCAAAAAGCCATGATTCCACAATCAAGAAAGAGAAATCCTACAAACCCACCCCAGGGACCTTCGACATGCTTCCAAAGACACACAAACAGGGGACCCCAGGCAGACCCATCGTATCTGGCCACAGCACTCCTACTGAAGGAATATCAGGACTCACTGAAACCATCCTCAAATCACTCACCACACAAAGGGCCAGCTTCTTCCAGGACACAACCAGCTTCCTCCACAAACGCTGCAACATTAACAACCTTCCTAACACTAACATCCCTCACAATAACAGTATCGCTGCCTACCTCAAATATCTGCAAGACAATGGACAACCCTGAGAGATCCACCCCAAACAGCGCCAAACTCATCCAAGTCATCCTCACCCCTAACAACTTCACACTCAACGAACACTTAGTCCACACCAGGGGAACAGCCGAGGGTGCTAGGATGGCTCCCCAATATGCCACCCTATTATTATACATAGAAGACTTTCTGGACAAATGCACCACAAAACCAATGATAGACTTGAGATACACCGATGATATTTTCATCCTCTGGACAGATGACTTAAACTCCCTCATAGATTTCCACCACAACTTCAACCACCACTCATCCATTAAACTCTCTCTGGAACACTCCGACACTAGCATCAACTTCCTGGTCACCTCAATCAACTTCAACAATGGAACCCTACAGATAACTACGTACAAGAAACCCACGGATCTCCACACCTACCCTGACAGATCCAGTCACCACCCAAAACACACCAAGAAATCTGTTATCTACAGCCAGGCACTCAGATACCACAGAATATGCTCTGAGACGAAAATCCAAGACTCACACTTTAAGACACTCAAAACCGCCTTCACCAAACAAGGACACTCCCATAGGCGCCGACTTCCCCACTTTCCCTTGGGTACTCGACCCCCCCCCTGCCCCCAGCCCCGTCCCCACTCAACCCCTTCCATGTAGCCCTGCCCCTGCCCCACCTCTTCCCGCCCTTGCCCCACCCCCATTCCAACCCCTTCCCCAAATCCCCACCGCCGCCTACTCTTCCCCGTCTCCTCCCCTGAGCGCACCCACGTTCCTGCTCTTCCCCCTCCCTTCCAGCATGCCGCCAAATGGAGGGAAGCGCTGAGAGGTAGGTGGAGGCAGGGCCGGCTCCAGGGTTTTGGCCGCCCCAAGCAGCCAAACAAACAAACAAACAAAACAAAAA